AAACTGTCCCACCCGGAACATGTGCCGGACATGCAATCTTCAAGAAATCAGCTGCAAGATAACTGAGGCTGGCTCCAGGGCTCGTCTCGGAATATGGTCCATGGAAAAAGATACATGGACATATATCTGTACGGGATAGAACGCATACAGCGGCATAGATACTTGTCCGGTTCCATGTACAAGACGGTGAATTTCATACACCACTGCCTCCTCCGAGATTTCTTTGCAGTAGAGACAATGGCTGTTTCAAGAAGAAAATTTGATGCTGGTTGACCTTTGTGTGGAAGAAGAGTAATTCCTGACGGAACTGACGGGCATGAAAAGATAGAGTAGACGTACATATCTGTGCCTACATGTAGCCAGCGAAGACTCGAGGCCGCATTGGACTAGACAAAAGACCGAAAAACGCCCTGCAGGTAAGAACGAGGTTATTCAAAGTTCCTGACCTTGACCCGTTTGTTTCTGGCTGCATCGTTCCTGGTCATTTCATCATAAGTAGCGGCGATGGGAATATTTTGATTCTCCTCCACATTCTTACAAAATCATCCTGGAACGGTGTACAGGAAATTACCCATGCAGCCAAGATGAACAACGGGGAGTATTTTCTCCAGAATCCGGGTGTAAGGCCGGCTTCGGCAATGATAAATGTTGGTAATGGAAGACAAGCAACTATTACCAGACCGGGGGCCTTCCTCATTACCCCGGGGCTTGCTTTCTCCCTGGTATCCGTGCACGTTCTCGCTAGCCTGGGTGTTGGCTTCAACAGATTCGAGCCCACCTCCAACCTTATTGGTTATATTGCCAGTGCCTCCGGCCGAGACGTCCTCGCAATTGGAATCGTGATGCTAGAGGTCAAATTGAGGGTGCCGGTTAACGCTCACCTGGTCCCTCGGTTCAATGGCCGCGTCAGCTTCTCGTCTATCAAGAACCCCAAATACTAGCGGATGGGTTGTTCTCGATGGGTCGGTGCAGCCTCTTTTGCTGCTATGGCTGGGACCAGATCCCAGTGTCCCACAATACGAGTCTAGTACTCTAGGTACCACTGCCGTTACAGCAACAGCACAGGAACGGCAACATCGCCATAAACACCAACGTCAACACGACATCCAATACGAATACCGACAGCGACAACAAGGGCACACGTTGGATAACAACCACGGCTGGACCAGCGACTGGGGCATATATGAACGCCGAAACAGGAAACGGCACCTTAAGCCGCTGATTGTCTCTCACAATGGTAACATCAAGACTCCGGTTCATGCACCCAGACGCTCATATTAGCGATCACAAGCTGACTAGAAAACGACCACAGTGTCTCAGCCGACGACTTCTTGATAACTCAACGAACGAGTTCGCCCACGAGTGGTTATATATTTGTTAGAGACGCCAGCCCGAGCGAGTTGCTTATGTCACGCAGGCGAAGGAATTTCTCCTTTTCTTCCGTCGAAATTGGATATGTGGTACAACCATTATTCTAGCTTCACAGAAAAAGTTGTGTTTATCTTCCCTAATCTGATGTGCCATGTGAAGACCAAATCATTCCACGTGCCCCAAATAACGAATTTGTACGTGCATCTATTTGTATCTCGCCACGGAATTTGGCTGGGCGGTTTGCCGCAAAACATTGATTGTTTGCAGATCGGTCAAATATATGCCTTGTATGGAATTACGGTGATGTAGAGGTAGCACCGGGCGACTTGCAGATTTTACGGAAATCCACCCGACGCAACAAGCCCAGTGTAACTCCGCTCAGCTGTAAGACTGCGTCTTACAGCCACCAAAACTGGGTTTTCTCAACCGTACCTACCTAGCTTTTCGGGCAGTGAAAATTGTCCACACTGCATAAATGCGCTACCAGATTGTAACTTTGCCAAAGGGAAGGAACGGGATACCATAGGGCGAGCCTCGGGTTAAACTTACGTGAACTGAGAAGACGTGCTCGCCACTCCCCCAAAATGCCAAATCAACAACTCGTAACTGTTGCAGAAGGTACATTTATGCAACTAACAACGGTCAATCAAACGAGCCATACAATTGATAAGGGCTTTGGTAAATGGAGTTTCCAGTTGTCGTCGAGTGTCCCACTGTGACCTTGAGGTTTGACGGCCTGCAGAGCTTATGGCCGTGACTGTGCGAGACACCCCGTACGAATTTGCAGGGGCCACCATTAACATCCGTCCGACACTCGGCAGGCCCGCGCAAAACGCACAAAAAGGTAACTACGATGTCGATACATCAAGACGAAATCATTGAGGCCGATCAATGCCAGCTGTCTGCCCGCTATCTGCCGGAGCGGTCGTGAAAATAAACCGAACACCCACTCATCACCGAGGCATGTGCTCATCTTCCTTACACATGTACACCATTTGAACAAAATTAAACACGTTTACTGGATCAAAGGATTCCTCGATAGACTCTGCCCAGTGTGCTTCCACTGGTTACAAGGCATATCACGGATTTTCAAAAGGGAGCGATATGGGACCTTTTGTGTTCGGTTTACTCTTGCGGCACCCGCTACAAGACGCAATAATTCGCCTCTACCAGCGGAATTTGCATTGTCTGTCCGGAGCTTTATCCTCTGTTGTGAGTGCTGGACAACGCACGAGTGCCCCCTTCTCATCCTCAAGCAGGTCAGAAGCACGCCATGTACAGAATCGAAAAACAAGTGCATTCAGTATACAAATACTCGTACCGAATACGTATGCGCTCTCTTTTCACCAAGTACCATCAGTCGCTTTGCGGCCTCGCAACGTACAATTCCATAACCAGAAGATCCGGGTAAAATGGTTGAAAAAGATGCAATGACCGCAAGATGCAAAATCTATAATTGCTACGCTGCTTTCTCTAGCGCCCATATAACACCCTGACAAGTTTCACTCTGAACTAATCACTCAGAAGGAGGGTGACGAGAAGGTCGAGATAGATCTAAAGAACCAAATTGCCTTGAACACCAATGACCAAAGACCTTGCCAATTGCCGTATTTCCGAACCCAACGAAGGGTTGCGAAAAGGCAAAAGATCGATTGGAACCAGACTAGAGCAGCAATCTGCTTTCCTGAGTTCACGAAACCAGGGAAAAACAAGAAGAAAATATCCCAGAAGAACCCACACCGAACCATGCTGCCGAAATGACCCAGAGCCCAGAACTGACCCGCAATGAACCTGATACAACACCATTCCCTGACGGTATGAAAAAACGTTGTTTCCCTTTTCCAGTTGTAACAGAAAGTCGATTTAAGATGGTTAATGCAAGGATTTGCAGGCGCAATGTGGCGTGAAATGACCGGCGAGGGATGTGCTGCAAGCCAATAGAGAGAAGAGGGACAGAACAGAAAAGCGGAAGAGAAGAGGCGCTGCCATTTTTCGCCATCGGCGTCATTAGGATAGTCCACTCCGGTCCAGACCGTGTTTATTTGTTAAGGAGAAAGAAAACTTAATGATACCCGCTTTTTCCTGTCGAGCCTACCATCATGCAAAACCTATCGTTCTTTTCGAGATATGGATTAACAGACAACACCAGGGAGATAAAACAAAAGTGGAAATCTTGTTTGAAGGTTCTCTCCTCTGAGCCATGGAGAAATTTGGTTTCCATACCCTCAAAGGCTCCCCCCATACAGAGATAAAGGTTGAAACTCAAGTTCCAACCAATACTCCAACCCCTCCTATTATAACACGGATTCTGCAGTTCCACGCTTCTCCCCTAACCGCGATCTGGCAGGACATTGCTCGATACCGGCTAGCTAGGGTACTGGATCAAAACAGACTGAGCTGTTACTATAGGTGCTCTGATCCTGGGAACCGACAAGGGAGTCCGGGCCACGATCCTTCAAATGGCACTAAGTATGATAGGAAGGGTTCTGCGGCTCCCCGCTCCCGAGACGTCTCCCAGTCCCAACCGCGCTGTCGTAGAACATCTGACCGGCACTGGCGCCAGGAAAAGGTTCTGGATCCGGATAGACATAGCCGTTACCGCTGGGGCTTTGAGCTGGAGATCCGACACCCCCAGGAGACGCCCAACCCGCACTTCCAATCTGAGGACTGCCGGCCACACTCCCGGATCCTTGTTGAGTTTCAACGGTTGGCTCCATTGTTGCGGGAGGAACATACCCGGTAGGGTGCGACGTGGGTCGGGTCAGTCCGTTGCTGTAACCTGGCGAGGTCGTTGGTGCATTGGAAATGTGAACGTCCCCACGAAGATGCGCCGGGAGTGTATTGGTTTGCAGATACTGCATCTCCATGTTGGCCAATCCCGCACTTGGTGACAAGGACAAGGGCCGCTGTGCCGGTGAGGGAGTGGTCATGGGTGTCGCTTGATTGGAGATCTGCTCGCTCTCCGATCGCTCCTTAGTCCGTGCCAACGTTCCCCTAGCAAGAGCTTCTGCCGTAGCCTTTGCAGATTCCTCAACAGTGCCAGTATGGTGATTCTGGTGCCTCGTCAGTGTCGTCCGGCGGGTGAATGTTTTCTGGCAATCCATGTATGGGCACTTGTAAGGACGCTTTCCGGAATGGATCCTACGATGACGCGCAAGAGAACTGCTGTCGCTGAAGGGCTGTAGCGCCGTTAGTATGTTTGTCTCGCTGTGGCCTTTAAGAGTCAAATATCTTACCTTGCCGCACCTCTCGCATTGGTGGGGCTTCTCTCCAGTGTGCACGCGCTGATGGACGGTGAGGGCTGATCGTTGGATGAACTGTTTCCCGCAACCAGGATAATCACACACGTGAGGACGAATACCGCTATGAATTCGCTCTGCAGAATAGTTAGCGGAGTTATGACAAAGAAAAAACCGATTGTTACTTACCGTGACGAGCAAGATCACTTCTCCGTGCAAAAGCCTTGGCGCAGGTGGAACACGCGTAGGCCTTGGGGGGCGGTCCTGGTGGCGCACCTCCCTCGACCTGAGGCTTGTAAGAAGGGTGAAGAGAAGGTACCATTCCGTTGTTTGACGGGACGCCTGGTACAGTAGGCATAGCAGGAATGCCCATCGGTGCAGGCGCCATTTGAGCATTGGGAGCCATTTGAGCGCTAGAAGCCATCTGTCCGCTGGGAGCCATCTGTCCGCTGGGAGCCATCTGAGCATTAGGAGCCATTTGTGAATTGGGCGCCATCTGGAGATTGGGACCCATTTGGGCATTGGGAGCCATCTGATTATTGGGAACCATCTGCGCATTGGAAGCCATTTGTCCACCTGGGGCCATGTGTGCGCTAGGAACAGTGGAAACGGGCATTGCGGTTCCCATTCCGGTCGGCGAAGGGTAGGACATGCTGGGTTCGAATTTCACGGAAGCGTGCGGCGAGCTGGCACGCTCCATAGGTTGCTGTTGTGTGAGCGGTTGCGAGGGTTGCTGTTCAGGTGTAGCTAGTTGGGGAACAGGAGCAGATTGTTCAAGCTGCTGTGTCGGTTGCGCGACCTGAGCGGCCTGAGCCGCCTGTGCTAGAGCGGCACTAGCCTGGGCGCCCTTAGTGTTGAGTACGCTACCGATTCCCATAGCGGCGGTAGCAGATTCCGGTTCTGACATTTTGAATGTCGACTGATCCCGAGAGTATCGTTCCAAGGAATGTGCAGGGTATTCTTTGTCTGTCAAGATAAACCTCCGCACAGCTGTATGACAACTTTAGACCCTGATCTTTCGTATAGCAGACAACTGCAGGATGATCAAGTGCTGTCCCTGATATAGATACGAGCTATAGCGAGTGGTCAGCAGGCGGTCGATGGTGACTTGAGCGGTGAGCAAGCTCTATAAAATGGATCTAAATGCTCAAGGAGATGCCAAAACAGTTGATTGGGACTTGGCAAGCCGTGGACCCTGCACACGTCTCCAGGTGGCCCTGGAAGCATGAAATACAACAATTCTTTCGGCACCTGCCGGGACTTGAACGATGAGGAGGGAAAGGAAATATGGCAAATAACGAGAAACGAACATGAGAATTCTTACCTTAGGA